GAGTAGTGTACAGGTGGTTTCTAATCCTTATTTTTTCTCGGAACTAAGGCTTGAGTTCATGGAGTTGAAAGAAAAACAGTTAAAAAAACAAAAGAAGAATAAGAAACACGTGTTGTTTTTTAAGGAAGCCACGTCAGCAATGAAGGAGGAATGGCTCCTGATATATCAGGAGCCAAGCATTGTCCTTTTCTGTCGAGTCTTGGAAAGTGGAGATTTGGTTTTCAACGTGTTTTCTTTCTTGTAAAGAAAAATTCTATAAAATAAGACCTTTGTCTTCTTTGTTTAGAGAGTTTTAACGATCATATTTTCAGTTCATAAACTTTGGAAAGCTGAGTTTTTATTTGAGATAAATCATCAAGTGTTCCATAACTTGGTGATTTATCAAACACTTTTATCATTCATATTGTATTCATTTGCATGTTCAGTGACTCATACGGTTGAGGGCACCAAGACAATTGTGGTGGTTTTTCTCCGGTGAGCTTGAATCGATCGTGATCAGTGTCGGATTCAACATAAGGAGAGTTGGAAGAATTCCGGCGAGCTTGAAGCAATCGTGACCAGTATTGCGTTCAATATAAGAAGTGTCGAAAGATCATCCCGTGACAAAAGTTGAGTTACGAAAAGGTCAATAAACATTATCTAGAATGTATCTAGGATAAGTGTGTGAGTACTTCTTGTAATCATCGTTCTATAATGGATTTGTTTTGGACTAAGAAGTCCCATTGATTTTCCCCAAAAGTGGGATTTTACCACATAAAATAATTTCCTACGTGTTCCTTTATTTTACGTTCTGTACATTCAAGAATTGATATCACTTATCGATCCTCTGGCATGTTTTTATTCCTTTATTACACTTAAACTCTGTAAACATACTATTTACCTCCCTTAGACCAGCTCCAACCCAATGAGTGAAAACCCAAATTATAGGTTTTGAGTCCAAAAAACTTCTCCAACCCATGTATTTGGAGGGGTGGAAATTTGAGAAATCTCAAATTTGGACTGGAATTCCGCCCAAACTATTGCCTGGACTGATAATGTTTGTGGGCTCCAAATCTTCTTTTTCTTCGTTGTTTTTTCCTTGGAAGCCCACGTGAACAACAAAAAGTGCTGGGCCCACGTGAGTTTTGCAACAAGCTGGCCATTTGATTGAATCCCAATGGCTACTTTTTCAAAATTATGCTGTGAAAAAAAAATATTCCAATAGCTATAATTTGTGTCAACCAAAAATCTTTTTTTTTTCTCCCTTTGTTATATATTTTTATTTTACTTTCATTCTTATATTTTTTCATTCCATTTTCTACTTTTATTATTATTTTTTTACTTGTTTTTATTTTTAAGTGAAATTCTATTATGTTATGGAATTTTAATTTTTTTAGGTTAAAATGTTTAGAAAATTAAATCATGAAATGTTGAAACAAAAATAATGTCAAGAAAAATTAACGAGAAAAAAAATTTAGGGGTTAATCATTCTTAAACAATTTAATAAAGTTGCGGACTCAAATTATGAGTCTGCAAAGATGGAGGAAAAAAAAAATTTGAGTCTTGAAAATACATGAATAGTTGTATTTTGGAGGGTGAAAATTTGAGTTTAGCCCCAATATGGTTGGAGATGGTCTTATAGTGTTTTAACCTATCCTACAGGCTACAGGTACAATTTCAATGTCCTTCAAATTTGTTTTTTGGTCAAATCTGTTTTCTTATTGTGAAGTTGGGTCCCAAGGCCCAAAACACAAAAACTACCTCGAAGCATTTCCTGGGCCTATACAATCCTCAAGAAGAAGACAGGCCCAACATGATGGGGGAAGAGTCCAAGATTAAACAGCTCATGTCCAAAGGAAGGAGAATAGAAAAGGCAAGAAATCTATGAGTTGACCTGAATTTTAAATCAACTTATTCTTACAACTACCCGATCATTGTGCTATTATTAATAGAAAATTTCTCTTGCATCTACGGTCTCTTGCATCTACGGCCGGAGAAAGCAATCTGCAAGTGAGCTTTCCTAGTCATTAACCAAAGGCAAAACAAACTTGGTCCTTCCTTTCATACATATACATAGCAGGTGGGAATTCCTTTCTTCTCTTTTTTTACTTTTTATTCTTTTCATTTCAGAATATTTCTTCTCGATTACTGTATTGTTCTATAAATTGCTATATGCCTTCCATTTGCCTGAAGGTTTAAGTCACTTATTTTCATGGTATGTTTTGATCGAGGAGTAGGATATATAAATTTGGATATATGATCTAAATAAGTTTTTAGAGTTAAGTACCACATGTGACTTATTCTAATTAGTAGTTGTTCTTGTAGTGGTGGTGTAAGAGTTGCAAGCAGTGAGGTTTTTCTGTGTTCTCTTATGATGAGTTCAATATTTGGTATTTTCTTTGTAATATAAGGGCCTGTTTGATAGACATTTCAATTTTAGTTACTAGTTTTCATTTTTTGTGTTAGAGTATAGAGGACAAAGAGAGAGAATGAAAGTGAGAATGAGAGTGAAGATGAGATTGAGAGGGAAGATGAGAGGAAGGAGTAATAAAGTGAAAACTAAAACTAAAAACTGAAATCTATTTGAAATTGTTTTAACTTTTGTTATTCATCCCTTCCATCCTCCCCTCTTATCCTCTCTCTTAACCTCATCCTCACTCTCATCCTCTTTCTTAATCTCATCCACACAAAAAATGAAAGATTGAAAACTAAAAATTTAAATTGAAATAGTTATCAAACGGGCCCTAAATTTCAAGAACTAAATTGACACATTTGTCAAAGTTGAGGGGGTTATTTGTATCTTATACTCTATCGAATTTCTTAAGGGTGGCCTTTTGTGCCGTCACTTTGGTTTGCTCAGCATATAGCACATCAACAGGAAAATGGAAGAATGCAATCAAGCTGGTCCAAATGACACAATTAACATGCCATACGTTCCATTAGAAACTTCATTGAGGGAGGAGTTAGATAGCTTGCCTGCCTTGTCCTCTTCGTGTTGTATCTACAGAGTTCCTGATGACATACAACGTCTGGAGGAAAAGGCCTACACACCTCAAGTCATCTCTATAGGTCCATTTTATCATGGCAAGGAAGGTTTAGAAGCCATGGAAGAGCAGAAAAAGAGGTACCTACGAGATTTTATACGTCGGACTGAGGTAAGCTTGAAGGACTATATCAAGAAAATTAGGGACCAAGAAGCAAGACTGAGAAGTTGTTATGCAGAACCCATCAAGTTTAGCAGTGATGAATTTGTAAAAATCATTCTAGTGGATGCTGCCTTCACTATTGAGTTCTTATTGAGTTTCAATCTGAAAGAATCTGGACATGATGGAGACCGCTTATTAAACAAACCGTGGATGTTCAGGTATGTACAGCCTGACATGTGGATGCTTGAAAATCAGCTCCCATTCTTCATTCTTGAGGATCTTTATCACACATACATAATAACCGACTCTTTTAGGAATTATTACAGTACTCATGATCATGAGAGGCTTTCAATAATTAATATTTCTAAGAATTTCTTCACAGCTGGAATATTGAATTTGGAGGGGAAGGGAGACAAATGGAACAGAATATCATCTTCTTCTAGTTCTATTAATGTGCAACACTTTGTTGATCTTATAAGAATTTTCTATCTACCATTGGAATCAGAATTAAGAGATGCAGGGGAGCTCAAAACCTTAAACATACCTAGCATCACAGAGATGCACCAGGCTGGAGTCAAAATTAAGGTAGGATCAAGCAAAAACTTAGTCGACATACAATTTGCGAATGGAACTCTCATAATTCCTAAAATAATGATAACTGGTGACAAACTGCGGACCCTGGGAAATGTCATTGCCTTTGAACAATGCCATTGCATAGAAGATAACTACATAAACGATTATGTTAGCATCATGGGTCGTTTTGCGAACACCCCGAAGGATGTGGAGTTGCTTATTGAGTTCGGAATTTTTGAAACTGCGGGTACCACCAGCGTTGTGTCATCTATGATTACCAAACTTGCCTCTGAGGCTCTTTTCTTTGTCGATGGAGTCAAACAATATGGGTAGAATATTTTCAGATGTATTTCATTCTCCGAAAGAAGGTATTTATAATAAGGTTACAAACCCTAGTAGGGTTTAATTAGGGGAAGGACACAATCTCTGCATCCAACTTTTCCTTAATGAAATTTCGATCAACCTCCACATGCTTTGTACGGTCATGTT